CCTCCCCCCTCCTCCCTCCCCCCGCCCGCCCTCCCCCCAAGCGGTGGCTTCTGGGCCAGGACTCGGTTCGCTGGCGGCCATTCGGGGCGATCCGGGCAGCCCCCCAGAACGCGTTCGGCGAGGCGCGGCTGCTGAGAAGCACTCGGGGGGCTGGAAGGGCGCCGAGAACCGACGAAAGCGTCTGGAAACCAGAGGGTCCCCGATAGATCCCCGCCTCGGCGGCCATGCCGGCGCCCGTGGACAACGAGCGGCGCGCCTGCCTGCAGGGCTTCGACGCGGACCTTGCCGCGGAGGTCCCGGACATCCGCCGATGTTGTTTTCCCCCCCCCCCCGGGCCCAGAGGTCCCGCCCACTTCCCCTGGGGAGACCCGAGCCGCCGCACGAGACGCCGGGGGGAGCGGAAACAAATGGCACGCGTGGCCCTGGCTCTTACACGCGTGAGGGCGGAGGCCAGGCCAGGCGGGGTGAGGAGAGGGGAAAGGGGTTCTTGGGCCCTCCTCCACCTCCTTCTCCTCCTCCTCGACCTCCTTCTCCTCCTCCTCCTCCTCCCCTTGCCTCCTTCTCCTTCTCTCCTCCTCCTCCCCCTCCTCCTCCTTCTCCTCCTCCTCCTCCTCCCCCATCTTCCTCCCCTCCTCCTCCTCCTCCTCCTCCTCCTCCTCCTCCTCCTCCTCCTCCTCCTCCCCCTCCTCCTTTTCCTCCTCCTCCTCCTCCTCCTCCTCCTCCTCCTCCCCCTCCTCCTCCTCCTTCCTTTCTCCTCCTCCTCCTCCTCCTCCTCCTCCTCCTCCTCCTCCTCATCCTCCTCATCCTCCTCCTCATGGCCACCATTTTGGGAGGCAGGGCATGGGGGCCTGGGGGGCGACGAGCGCACGAGCGAGCGGCGACGGAAGTCTGGGTTCCGAGCTCCAGAGCACAGCGGCGCAGGAGAGTACGGAATCAAGCAGTGGCGAAGCGTCCTGGGTCGCCTATAGCCCTACCAAACAATGTTCTAAGAGCCTTTTGTGGTTCCCACGAAATGTTCTCTGAACAGTTCTGGCGGGGACTGTCTTGTTTTATCACACCGGGTTTATAGTATAAGAACATTGTTTTTGTTTTTGGAACATGTCTGGGTTCTAAGAGCATTGCATGGTAGGACTGTAGGAATGCCGGGACGGTCGGTCCCTGCTCCACAGAACACACCTCGCCAGGCATCGTCCCGAAGCCTGCTCCTGTGTAGCGTGCGGCCCGCTCCAGGAAGAGAAGCACCAAGCAACCAAACAGAGACGGAGAGCACGGAAAAACGGATCGTCGGAGAGACCTCGACGGGGGAGGAGGAGGAGGAGGAGGAGGAGGAGGAGGAGGAGGAGGAGGAGGAGGAGGAGGAGGAGGAGAGGAGGGAGGAGAGGAGGAGGAGGAGGAGGAGGAAGGTGGAGGAGGAGGGAGGAGGAGGAGGAGGAGGGAGGTAGGAGGAGGAGATGAGGGAGGTGGAGGGATGAGGAGGAGAGGAGGAGCGATGAGGAGGAGACCCTGGAGGAGGCTCCCCTGGAGCCTGCCGAGGGGGCCACGACGGGGGCCGAGAGCGGCCTCGAGCTGGCCGCGGGCGGCGAGGCGGCGGCCGCGAGCCGGCCCCGGCGGCTGCGGCTCGCGGGGGGCGGCCTGGCCACCGTGGCGCTCCTCGTGCTGGTGGCGGCCCCGTGGCCCGGGCAGGGGGCGCCGAGGGGCGCCGAGGCGCAGCCGCGGCGGGGCGCCGAGGGGCGCCAGTCGGAGGGCACCAACTATACACCAACACCGATCCTGGCCCAGGGTGATCCTGGCCAGGATCGGTGTTGGTGTATAGTTGGTGCCTTCCTAGCCAGGGCTGCGGAAGTCGACGAGTGGAGAGGTCCAGATGTCCAACAGATGTTTCAAATGTGTTCTACAGATGTAGAGGAAAGACATGTGTGAAGCATGTTTTTTGAACACGTGTTGCACATGTTAAGCACATCGTTAATCCAACGATAGATACAGGATTGTAAGAGTGTCCCTTGTCGTATGCATCCACAACGCCAGGGCGAGGCCCAGACGCGAAGAAGAAAAAGCTTTTGGCCCCGAGGGCCCCGAGGGGCCAGGCTCGGAGGCGAGGGCCCCGAGGGCCGCAGGCACTGCAAGACCTCCGCCGCGGCGCTTCGAGACGCCAGGGCGTCTGCAGAGGAAGAAAAAGCGCCAAAGACATAAAACTTTGGGCGCTCCGCGCGGACTTCTTGGGTCCGCGCTGGCCCCCCCCCCCCTGGCGCGCGGAGCGCGCCAGGGGCGGCGCCGGAGGACAGAGGAGGAAAAGGTACCGAGACCGCTGCCCTTCCCTTACCTCGTCGCCACAGGAGGCCGCTACCCTTCCCTTCACTCGTCGCCACGGCTGCTTGGTCAGAACGCACCCCTGGAGAGGTCTGAGGAGTACGGCAGGTTCGTGTCTTGCCGACGCGGCGGCGACCCCGCCGCGGGCGTTCTAGGTTGAAGGACGCCTGTGGCCCAGAATCGGCCAATACGCAGCGGTACGACAATCGAAAGGCAGCAGATCGCTCAAGGTTGAGAGATCCACGCGGTGTCAGAAACCAACGTCGGGGTCGTCACGACGCGAACCTGCAATATCGGCATCGGTACCTCTCGGCCCCCCAGAGGGAGAGGGGCCGTGGCGGCCCTCAAAGAAGAAGAAGGAGAAGAAGCAGATGAAGAAGAAGCCGCCCGCCCCAGCCTTCTTACCAGCCCTCCCCGCCCCGCCCCCGCCCTCCCCCAGACATCCGATGTCTTGAGCTTCTCTGTGCAGGGCCCATGGAGGTCTGGGTCTGTTCCAGGGGGCGCTTCATCCCGAGCCGTTTTGGGGGACTGCGGGGGCCTGGCGAGGCCAAAAGGTGGGGAGCTGCCGCACGGAGTTTCTCGAGACGCCAGAGGTGTGGGTCCGAGGGGCCCTCCTGGGGGAGGGGGGGGCGCCCCTTCTGAAGAGCCCCCTGCGCCTTCGCATCGCACCAACCCCAGGAGGGTAACATATGTGTATGTATATATGTGTATATATGTGCATATATATATAGGAGGTTGGGGGGTGAGATCGAAGTGGAACGGAAAGCCCCCCACCGGGAAATCGGTTTCGGTTTCGTGTTCGTGCGTGCCGTGCGTGCGGGCGAGGCGAAGCTGCGTGGGCGGGCGAGAGAAAAGTCTCCTGTGGCTGAGGCGCGGCCGTACCAAATGATTCTCCCTCCGGCAAAGCGCTGGCTCCAGCACCCCGAAGGGGAGCCGCCAGGGGTGTTTTCACGGGCCCGTTCGTGGCCAGTTTGTGGGGATGTCTCAGGCGGTTTGGCTGTTTTGGTGGGCAGACTCGCTTGCGTTTAGAGCAGTTTGTGAGGATGTCTCAGGCGGGGCGCTGGTTCCAGCACCCCGAAGGGGAGCCGCCAGGGGTGTTTTCACGAGCCCGTTCGCGGCCAGTTTGCGGAGATGTCTCAGGCGGTTTGGCTGTTTTGGTGGGCAGACTCGCTTGCGTTTAGAGCAGTTTGTGAGGATGTCTCAGGCGGGGCGCTGGTTTCAGCACCCCGAAGGGGAGCCGCCAGGGGTGTTTTCACGAGCCCGTTCGCGGCCAGTTTGCGGGGATGTCTCAGGCGGTTTGGCTGTTTTGGTGGGCAGACTCGCTTGCGTTTAGAGCAGTTTGTGAGGATGTCTCAGGCGGGGCGCTGGTTTCAGCACCCCGAAGGGGAGCCGCCAGGGGTGTTTTCACGAGCCCGTTCGCGGCCAGTTTGCGGGGATGTCTCAGGCGGTTTGGCTGTTTTGGTGGGCAGACTCGTCTGCGTTTAGAGCAGTTTGTGAGGCGGTGCGCTGGTTTCAGCACCCCCAATAGGAGCCGCCAGAAGGGGTTGGACACGGGCCCGTTCGCGGCCAGAATATTGATCAGAGCGTGAATTACCTACCCCGCTTTCGCTTCCAGGCAAAACCAAGCCATACCACGCGCCTCCTCGTCAAGCAGCTTGACCAGTGCAGGCCGTAGTTTGGCATCGCTTGGTGTCTCTTGGAAGCGAGGGTGGTCAAAAGCGAGGTAGGTTCGTTTGCCCCCTAATTGAGGAGGGGGAATGAATGGGAGGATTATATTCAATCATATTCAAAGCTCATTCTGATTCATACTCACTCACTCGCATTAGGATTCACTCGTCTTCGTCGGCCCTCGCCCACGTGGACGCGCTATTATAGTCGAACGCTCATGAACAGACGCTCACTATGGCGTGACATAAAACATGATATGCGCAGATGGGAAGCTCCACGCAGTGAGTAATTTTTGATAGGGATGGGGGCGGCATTGGCCCTGGTTGGCTGCCGGTCGCCTGGGGAAGGGGGTCTTTGTCAACAGGGAACAGCGATAAACCCTCCCCGAAGCGGAAGAAGGGAGTAGGAAGAGGAAACCGTCTCAACCACTCACTGCCTAATGGGCTGGTGGGATTGAAAACGGAGGGGAGATGGAAGAGAATGCGAAAATTCAGAAAGTATGGAAACAGATCTTGGGAATCCTGGAAGGAATTTGTGCCGATCTATTTGTGTCTCCCTCGGTCCCTTTACAACCCCCCCTCGACGCGCCGCCCGCAGACGCGGGCGCCGGCGGACCCTGGAGCTGCGGGCGACACCGGTCCAGCGGATACGGGCGCCGCCTTCGCCGAGGAGGCGGCCTCGCTGGATAGGGCGCCGGCGGACCCTGGGGCTGCGGGCGACACCGGTCCAGCGGCGACGGGCGCCAGCGCGGTCTTCGGAGCCTTTGCCGGGCGCCGCAGGCGACGGGAGCCGGGGGCGCAGGCGCCAGGAGACGCGGACGCCGCCTTCGCCGAGGAGGCGGCCTCGCAGGAGGCTGCGGACGCCGCTGAGGCCTCCGATCTCGGGGCCGCCATCGACGCTGCCAGGTTCGCCGAGGAGGCCGCGGAGGAGGCCGCGGAGGAGGAGGAGGAGGAGGAGGAGGAGGAGGAGGAGGAAGAGGAGGAGGAGAAGGAGGGCGAGGAGGACCGCAGAGCCCATGCCGACTTCGCGGATCCAGACCTCCAACCTCTCGAGAAACTCAGTCCAGAAGCCTCGCTGGGCCCCAGGGGCCGTCAAGAATCAAGAAACGGCTCGCGGGATGAAAAGTCGGGCCCGGGGAGGGGGCCGAGACCTCCATGCAGGAGAGTCTTTTGTTGTGCAAAGGTCACGACGTCGGGGGTCTGGGACCAGTCTGTCGCCATCTGAGCGGAGCGGCCAGTCTGTCGCACTGTCTCGCCTCGTGGCCGTCAAGAGAGGGCTCGGGATCAGAAGCCGGCCCCGGGGAAGGGGTCGAGACTCGAGACCTGCAGGAGCCCCCGTGGCGAAACGAGCACGACGTCGGGGGGGATCCGGGGAGCCGGCGCCGCCTTCGCGGGGAGGATTTGCAGAAGGAGGACGAGGCCGAGAGGGAGGAGGAGGTCGGGTTGCAGGAGGCCGCCGAGGAGGAGCTGCAGGAGGAGTTGGAGGAGGAGTTGTTGCACTCCGCGGGCAGCGCCGAGGAGGAGCTGGAGGAGGCCGCCGCTGAGGCTGCCGAGGCTGCCGAGGAGGCCGAGGAGGCCGAGGCGCGGGTCTCCGGGGTCTCCGACGGCACCGGTGAGGATGAACTCCACGAGGCCGCCGCCGAGGCTGCCGAGCTCGCGGAGGCGATGCAGGATCCGCGGAAGGCATCTGTGCTGCGTTTATGTCGGTGATATTCGGGGCGACTGCTGGCCTGATGCGCGCTCCCCGCGTGCAGATCCCACCCGTTGCACGCAGCCTGCGCCGGCCCTCACTGGGCAGCGCCAGGGTCGTGCTGCAGGGCTTCGGTGGGCAAGCACACGATTGCGCTACAGCAAACGCTTGAAGGATCACCGACGATGCACCACCGCCAGGACTGGACAGGGCCATCCTGGGCCCCAGGAGGGCGTAGGTGCCCTCCTGGCCTCGGCCAACAGTCGGCGGCGGGCGAGGGGGGGAAGTGAGAGGGGGCGGGCCTTCTCAGAAGGCTCGGAAGTCCCCCGGCCTTCTGAGAAGTTTTCTCTCAGCCTTTCCCGAAGACACAAGAAACTTCTCGGAAGGCGCGAGGGCTTCTGAGAAGCCCCGCCGCCTTCTGAGAAGGCCTTCCTCTTCTCACTTCCACCCCTCGCTCGCCGCCAAAACAGGGCGCGTACATCTGGCGCTTCGACGTTGCTCGAGGCGCAGGCCTCTGGATCTCCCGGCCAGTGCCCCAGGCCAGCCGTTCATCCCGAGCCTTACGTCGGGCATGTCCCTCTTCAGGAGGAGGAGTATTCAAAATCGGTTTTTTAAATAGTATGGGGGGCGATGTCTTGAGCATGTCTGACAACTTTCGAGTCTTGCTGGACGACCTTGAAGTCTCGGCCCAGACACCGCCCGCAGGAGGCCATGCCCAACCGAACCCGAGCCCTCCCCCGACGGCCCCGAGGCCCGAAGCTGGCCTCGAGGCGAGGGCCGGCGACAGCCCGGCCACCTCCGAGGCCTGCGAGGCGAGGGCCTCCCGGGCACGCCGCGCCAGGGCCCGCGCCAGGGCCGAGGGCCAGGCGCGGTCCTCTTGGCATCGCTCGGACGTGTGCATTTTTCCCCGGCGAAGACCATCGAGGACCATCCTGGACCATCGAGCAAAACAAAACAAAAAAAAAAAAAAAAAAAAAAAAAAAAAAAAAAAAACGCACGGAACCGAAAAGTGCACGGGAAATGGACGTCCGAGCGACGGCAAGTCCTGCAGGCCCCCGACGCCGCGCCTCTCGGCCCCTTCCCTTCCCCGGGGCCGGCTTTGGACCTCTCGGGGGTCGTCGGACTCAAAAACAACCAATCTCGGAACTCCACAACGGAGGCTCATCCTCGACCCTCTTCTCTATGTTCACTTTCCGCCCTTTGCTCCGCATCCGCCAAACATGTGCTCGAGAGACGGGGGTCAATGCAGACGGGGGTCGGCCAGAGCGCCGGACCTCGCAGCATCCTGCAGGGCCAGGGTCGCACCGACCCGGGCTTGGGCGCAGGATCCTGCAGGATCTTGCAAGGTCCTTCGCGCTGACCGGGGTTTGGGTGCAGGACCTTGCAGGATCCTGCAGGATCTTGCAAGGCCTGGCTGACCCGGGTCTGGATTGACCCAGGTCAGAAGATCCCCGAGATCGTTTCTTGAGGGCCCCGGGGCCTGGTGCGGGCCCCTGGAGGCCGCAGCGGCTGCGACCTTTCGGTCGTGATCTGTGTCGCGGCTCTCAGGGGTCGGCCACGCGCAGAGGGGTCGGAGGTTGACTGACCTCCTACCCTGACACGTCGATTAAGGAATTGGCCGTTTTCGGTTCGCGAGAGGGCGTCGCCGCCGTCATTTTTGCGGGTCCAGGTCCGTCGGTTTCGGCCCCAGGCCGTTGTCACTAAGGGGAGGTTTACTGAAGGGAGGTTTGTCAACCGCCGAAGGGGGGGGGAGGCTTCTTAGAAGCACCCCTGCTTCTTAGAAGGCGCGGGCCGTCTCTGTAGATGAAGGGCCGGCGCCTGTAAAGAAGCAGCTTCCTTCTAAGAAGCCTTCCCCCCTCCCCCATAATTATCCCTCTGTGCGCGCCGCCAAAGGGGTTCTGCAGGACGGGGCTACGACGACCAGGTTAAGTCGCCCCAGAGCGTTCCGAAGCGCTCTCCCAGAGCGTTCCTGAGCGCTCTGGAACGGCCGCGGCGCAAGATACATCTTCCAGAACCGCTGGATCTCAGAATTCCCTCGACTTACCCCGGTCTGACTTTGTCCCAGTCCTGGCTTCGTCATATTGGGTAGTGTACGGCGTGCCTCCCGCGGCGTAGGAGGCCGCCAGATCCACCGAGGCCGAGGCCGAGGCCGCGGACGAGCCGAGGCCGAGGGCCGTGGCCGAGGCCCGGACGAGCCTGCGGACGAGGGAGACGAGCCCCCCCCCCCCCCCCCCCCCCCCCCCCCCGAGGCCGAGGCCGAGGCCGAGGCCGAGGCCGAGGACGAGGCCGCGGACGAGGACGCGGCCGCGGCCGAGGTCGAGGACGAGGCCGAGGCCGAGGCCGAGGACGAGGACGAGGCCGAGGCCGAGGCCGAGGCCAGCGAGCCTCAAGGGGCTGGCGAAGGCCGCGGGGGCCACGAGGCGCTCAGCGGAGGCCGGCACCTCTGCGAGGATCGGAGGGGCCTCTGGGCGAACAACAGCAGGGGGGCGCAGCAGGCGTAGGGGGAAGTCGAGGCTTGCAGGAGAGTGGTCCCCAGCCACGCGCAGAGGGGGGCGGGGGGGGGAGGGGGGAGGGCTTCTTAGAAGCACCCCTGCTTCTTAGAAGGCCGACCTTGTCTAATAGATTTTCATGCCCGGCGCCTTTCTAAGAAGCAGCCTGCCTCTAAAAAGCTTCCCCCCCTCCCTCCACCCCTCACCCCTTTTGCGCGCCGCCAATACAAAAAACAAAAAAAAAAAAAGAGCTCCTACGTGGGTCGGCGTGGGGGGGGCTCCGGAGATAATGACCCTGACACGATCGCGTCGTGAGAAATCAGGACGGGCGGCGTTTGGCCATTTTCGGCCTCGGGGGGCTCTCGCCGGGCCTCGGGAGCGTCAAACATTGATTCAGGATGTACAACTGGTCCCGGGCAAAGAGTTCGGACTTCTAGTGGCCCCGTATTGAAAAAAGCAGGACGTCGCAGGTCTGGGTAGGAAGGTGGTCAGTGGATGCTAAGGTCAGTGATATCTGTAAGTGGGCTACAAGTGCCCCAAGGGGCTTATTGGGCTTTAAAACTCCACTCAGCCACTTCTCTCGGATCGTTCACCCGCCTAAGCCGCTTTTCGCGTGTATCCCCCCCTTCGTTCATGTGCCCCCCTCTTTAACAAACACCCGAGGATGGGTTGGTCGGAGGAGGTGGGGGAGCGAGGGACGGGGGAGAGGCGTTTCTCCTGCCTGCAGGAATCGTGATGGGTTTGGGTCGGAAGGTTGTTGCATGGTTTCGTTGGTTTTCGCATGTTTTCGGGACTCGGACTGGTTCTCATCAGCTGCGCCTCGTCACGGGCGTTCCGGGGATACTGGAATCGCCCCGAAGGGCAAACTGATCGGAGGTTGATAGACCTACCCTGACACGTCGATTAAGGAATTGGCCGTTTTCGGTTCGCGAGAGGGCGTCGCGGTCGTCAGTTTTGCGGGTCCAGGTCCGTCGGTTTCGGCCCCAGGCCGTTGTCACTAAGGGGAGGTTTACTGAAGGGAGGTTTGTCAACCGCCGAATTGAGGCCCGAGTGATCGCCCGAAAACAGTCGGTGGACGAAGGCCAGTCGAGACATTGGCGGCCCTCCAGGTCCATGGCATAACCCCATGCTCACGATAATAAACACTAGGGGATAATAAAGTTCGGGGTTCAGGGGGAGATAATCAAAGTAGCCCACCAGACCTCAGCATAATCTCGAAGTAAGAGATGATCAAGAGGAGACCAAACCGAGCACGTTTTGAGACATCCTTGACGTTTTTGAGACATCCTTGGCTTGAGACATCCTCGACAAGCTTCTCGAATCGCTTGAGACATCCTCACAGAATTACTGGCTTCGCTTGAGACATCCTTGAAACATTGCTCGTTTCGTTTGAGCCTGCCTCCCAAAATTCTTGGTTTCGCTTGAGACATCCTGAAAAAGTGTGATCGCTTCGCTTGATGTTGCTATTTCAACATAACTTGATCTTGCTATCTCAACATAACGTTCCGAGGTGATAATGAAGTTTGGCCTCCGCGCCCCGCGCCCCCGACCAAACTCTTATTGGTCGACGATAAAATCACTCTAACGACTTAGGGGGGGGTAACATTATTATCGTGGGCATGGGGTTATTGCGAAGGCCTTAAAGCCAGTGCCGCCGACCCTGAAGGGAGACGACGACGACGACGACAACGGCGGCGGCGGCAACGACGACGACGACGCTGACGTGGGCCAGAGTCCTCAGGGATGCGTCGTGGAGTCTCGTCAGAAGTCTCTCGTGGGCCTCGGGGGAGGAATTTGGGGGCCTCTTGGGAGCCTCTTGGGGGCCTCTTGGGAGGCTCTTGGGGGCCTCTTCGGGCTTCCTGGAGGCCTCTTGTGGGCCTCTTGGGGCCTCTTGGGAACTCTTGGGGCCTCCTGGGAGCCTTTTGGGGCCGATGGCTCGAAATGTCCGTTCGGGTCCCCCGTCTGGGCACGCTCTTGAAGCCGTCTTGGGGGCCTCTTGGGCCGCCTTGGAGGCGTTTTGGGCTGTCCTGGGGTCCTCTTGGGCTGTTTGGGGGCCCTCTTGTAGGCCTCGTAGGCCGTCTTGGGGCGATCTTGGGGGCCTCCTGCGCCGTCGTCGTCGGCCGCTTGGGGCTGCTGGGAGATCTTTGTCGCCGAGGCTTCGTTTGGCCTCCCGTCTTGGGCACCCTGTGGAAGAGTCCTGGAAGTCCGGGAGCCTCTTCGAGGTCTCGTGGGGACTTCCTTGGGCTTGAGAGGGCCGCGCGATGGGTTCCGGGACCCCGCGAGGGTGTCGGAGTCGCGCAGGGGGGGAAGCGCATTTGGGTGGCGACCCCCCCCAGGGACGCCCCCTGGGACCCGCCCGGGACCCCCCAGGGCCCCGCCACCTCCTCCTCCTCCTCCTTTACCCTCCTCTCCTCCTCCTCCCCTCCTCCTCCGCCTCCCTCCCCTTCCTCCTCCTCCTCCTTCCTCCTCCCACCACCTCCTCTCCTCCTCCTCCTCCTCCTCCTCCTCCTCCGCCTCCTCCTCACACCACCTCCTCCTCCTCCTCCTCCTCCTCCCATTCTCCTCCTCCTCCTCCTCCTCCTCCTCCTCCTCCTCCTCCTCCTCCTCCTCCTCCTCTACCCCGGACCCACCCCCCCGCGCGGGAAAGGATCAAAGAAGGCTTCCCAAAGACAAGACAATCGAACACGCGCCCTCCGCGGCATACGTCGTCCTTTCTGGCTGGGCCCCGTGGAGGCTTCTCATCGCCACGGCAGGATCCGCCTCGGAAAACCGGCCAGGACAGGCCCCGTAAGGGGTCAGGTGACCGAGTTTGAACGGATTTTTGGCCTGGCGGGAGAGCCGCCGTTGTCTCAATTGGCTCTCCTCCGAGCTGGGCGCTCGGCAGCGGGTGGGGAGCGGGAAGGAGCTGGGATGGATGGTGGTGATAAGGGGGGCAGGAGGGAAAGACGGACGAGGAGGAGGAAGCAGACAAGGAGGAGGAGGAGGAGGAGGAGGAGCGGGGAGGGGTATTATCCAGTAGGGAATGGAACGAGGAAGGCGGAGAACGGATGGGGGAATGTGAGAAGGGGGAGGAGTGGACGAGCGGATGGTCGAGGGGAGGGGATGGGTGGGTCTCCTCGAAGAGCACGCAGTGCCTCTGGCAGCCTTCTCCGCTCGGTGCCATTTGCCTGCGCAAGGATGACGAGGAACTGCACATCAAAGCCTGCTACAAGAGGCGCGACCTCCTCTCATCCTCCCTCCTTTCTCCCTCTTTCCCTCCCTCACCTCTCCCCTCTCCATCTCTCCTCCCCCCTTATTTTTGTTCCTCCCGCCGTCACCACCACCACGGGGTGGGGGTGGGGGGGGGGGGGGCACCCCCCGTGGGGGTGTGAGGCAACAAACACACCCCCCACACCCCCCCCCCCACCTCCCTGTTCCCGTCCTCCCCACTCTCCGCTTCTCTCTCTCCCATCCCTCTCGCCCGCATCGCGCTCCTCCTCCAACCTCCCATGTCTCCACCTCGCCTTCTTCCTCCCCTCTTCCCTCCCCGCCCTCACCTCCCCACTCTTCCTCCTCCTCAATCCGCTCCCCCTCCCCTCTCCCACCCACCCCCCCCCGCCCCTCCCCCTAAATTCCCCGTCCTTCCCCGCGGTTCACCCCCCTCTACTCCATTCCTTCCACCTGTGCCACGAGAGGTGCGACCTGCTCACCGGTGGCGAGTACCCCTACCGCACCACGGCGTGGTCGTGCTGCAAAGAGAAGAGGTGCGACTTGTTAGGGCGGCCTCGTATTCGGCCCGACTCGGCCGGTCCTGACCGCAAACTTCCGACGGCATGTTTCGTTCAATCCTGGCGTTCGTGTCAAATTTGTCCTTCCAATGGCCGTTTCCGGGGGCCAGCTCCGTCTTACAATTCCCCGGGAGCAAGAAAGAACCAACCCATTGGAAGGGGTCGGGAGCTCCAAGGGCCCCGAACCGACAACACGCGGCGTTGGAGGCTCTTCGGTACTCGATCCAACTCTGCCAGCCGTGACGGCGGGCCCATCATGGAGGGATGGAGGGATGGAACTGAGGGGAGGGAGGAGGGGACGGGAGGGGAGATGGAGAGGGAGAGGGAGTGATTCAGTGAGACGAGGAGGAGGAGGAGGAGGAGGAGGAGGAGGAGGAGGAGGAGGAGGAGGAGGAGGAGGTGAGGTTCGGCTCGGTTGTCCACGAAGGAAAGGTGAAGCCCTTTCTGCCGGGTGACCGCCGAGCCCATTTGGGCCCGACGGTCGAAAGGAAGAGGCGGAGGAGGAGGAAGAAAAAGAAAAAGAGGACGAGGTGAGCGGGATGGAGGAGGCGAGGGATTGGAGGGATGGGGTGACCTTTTCTCTGCCTGGGCCTGCGTGCCGGCGACGCCGACGCGGCCGCCCCACGCGCAGTTGCCGCCCTGACAGCGGCTGGCCCTGGCCCCCCATGGAGGAGCACTAGCGCAGTGCAGGGCAGGACCCGAAGGCGGCCACGTGCCGTCGGACCACAGCGAACCGCGGACCGCAACAGGCCGCGGAATCGTGGCCGCGGCCGCGGCCTCGCCGCTCCCTGAGGTACTGGCGACGGAACTGTGCGTCTGCAAGGGGCGCTTTCGACCAGTTTCGGGCCCAGGGGCTCTCACACATCGATGCGGCGCGAAAAGACGGACGCGGAGAGGTACGCCTTGTTCATTTCTAAGTATTCGAAGGTTCTTTGATTTTTAGGGGGGGCAGGATCCTTTCATTTCGAATTTTTCAATCCTGGGCCTCTTCCTGGCCATTAGGGGGCCAGGAACAATTAGAAACGAGCACGATTAGACATGAACGACGTGTATACTCTTGGAGGTCCGCGCGGACCTCCGAAAGTGGAGGGCGCAGCCCCAACAGGGGCGGGGCGGGACGGCGGGGCGGGACGGCGGGAGAGGGGTGGACGGCCAGCGATCCTCAGGTGAGTGGTAGCCGGGCGGGGCAGTGGGCCGCACACAACCACACTTATTGCGTCGGCGGCTAGGCAGGGGACGTCTGCGCTGGCGATGGGAGGCCTAAGCGGGGACGCCGTTAGAGCGAATTGAGCCACCATGCAGGAGGAGGAGCGGGGAGGAGCGCGGCCGAAAAAGGGGCGGATGGAGCGAACGGTTCAGAGGAACGGGTCACACATACTCTCTCTCTCCCTCTCTCTCTCTCTCACACACACACACACACGCACGCGCACACGCACACGCACACACACACACACACACACATACACACACACACACACACACACACACATACCGGCCGCCAGAGCCCTCGGCCCCTTTTTCGCGGGGCCTGTTTCCTATATGTCGTGGGGGGGGTCGGCGGTCGGGCGTCCTCCTTTTTTGTTGCCTCCCCCCCTTTCCCCCCCTTTCCTCCTCCTCCTCCACCTCCACCACATCCTTCTCTTGCTCCTCCTCCTCCTCCTCCTCCTCCTCCTCCGCCTCCTCTTCCTGCCATCCCCCTCCTCTTCCTCCCCTCCTCTCCTCCTCCTCCTCCTCCTCCTCCTCCTCCTCCTCCTCCTCCTCCTCCTCCTCCTCCTGCGCTTTCGCATCAAGCTCACGGACGACGCCCAGGTCGCGAGCCTCGCGTCCGTCCTGCACCGCGACTTCGAGGCACGCCAGCATTCTCTGGCGCAGCAAGCAGCTAGACACCCGCACAGCCATCCCGATGCTGAGAAACTCCAGCGGACCCTTCGGGTCTCCCAGATGCGAGCCCTCCTCTGGGCCCCGTGGAAGCGTCGACTCGTCTTCCGGATCAAGATCACAGGCCTCGAAGGCCCCGCTGCCACCACCAGAGAGAGCGTCGCAATGGTCGACGCCCTGCGCACCCACTGGCGCCCCGTCTTCGCCCACAAGACGGTCGACACCAACGCCGTGCACGCGTACATCGACGAGCACATACCGCAGGGCAGCACGCTGGACGTCAAGCCGCCCTCCAAGTATTAGTTGCAGGCCTTCCTGAAGCATACGTATCCATCGGCTCACGGGCCCGACTGCTTGCCGTACAGCGACTGGACAGCCCACGACCATTCCCCAGACATTCTTGAGGACCTGGCCAAATACTTCTGCTCGGGCAACTCGATCGCGCGTGACCTGAACGGCTCGGACTTCGCCTTCCTGCCAAAGGGCGGCAACCTGTCGGGCGAGATCACCACGGACCGATGTCCTGAAGACACACGTCCAGTCTCGCTGAAGAACATCGACATCAAAGCCATCGCAGGAGCTGCCAACAACATGATCAAGCAGTACGTCGCCGAGAGCACGCACACGGCCCAGCAGGGACTCGTCATGGGCAGGAACTTCACCCAGCACGTCGTGCGCCTGGACGCCGAGATGCGCCGCGTCGGCCTCTACGAGAACGCTGCGGAGTTCCACCCCGTCTTCATCAGCTTCGACTTCGCGGCGGCCGTCCCGTCGCTTGGCAGAACATGGCTCTTCAAGGCGATGCACCGCTTCGGCCTGCCAGACGGCTACATGAATCTCTTCGAGGCCATGTGTTACGCACCCATGTCTTCGGTCAAGGTCGAGGGCGTGCGCCACACCAGGAATGCAATCGAATCTGGAGTCGACCAGGGCTGCCCAGCGAGCGGACCTGCATGGGCGATCGCGATGGACCCAATCATCCGCCACCTCGCGCAGGCCATTGAGACGGCGAATCTCGGCAACGACCAGCACTCCAGCTACCTGGGTATCCTGTGTGGTTCCTTCGGCCTCGTGAGCAGAGTGACTGAGCCATTTGGCGCCGCAGCTCGCCTTGCTTTGCTATCATCGAAGCCGCGCAAGTACGTTGTAGTCCCTCTCTGGGCGCTTCTGTCTCCTGCCACCGTAGCCCAAACCCAGGCCCGACCTTCCGAGTGTTCGCCGTTGTGGCGCGGTAATTCGATTGCGGGGCGTGCCAAAATACCTCGGGATCTTCCTCGGACCCGCGGCCTCCCTGGCCCATCAATGGCACGCCCATGGACGGAAATGGCGGCAACGCACGCATGTGCCCCCGCTCGTGCCGTCTGGCAGCGACGCCACAGTCGGTTAACACAACACCTCTGCGCCCTCTACGTTAAGCTACGTGGCCCAGTTCTCCCCTGCGCCTGCTTCCATCGCTGACCGCGAGCAGTGCGTTTTCCACAAGATGCTCAGTCTGCCGCCGAATACCTCTCGCAAGGTCGACCTCCTTGCGATGGCGGACTGGGCGCCGCCGCCAGTCCCGCGCTCTCTGCAGGCGATGTCGGTCGCCGCCGCTGCCCGCTCCGCGCCCCGCGCTCTGTCGGGCACGCGGGGGCCGAATTTCGATCGGCTCCGCGAAACCGCGCGGGGCGAAAGCACTGTTCACACCTCCATCGCTGGACGGAAGGCTCGTCCTCCCCGAGCTTCCGGGCGCAGCCTCAGGCGATCGCACAGTTCCATGCCCAGCTCCGCGATGCCAAGCGATGTTGCGCGCTGCCCACGCAGCCACGCTGGAGGAGAAGGAGGCTGCCTGCTCCGCGGAACCCCCGCGCCGCCCTCACCTCCAGCGCGCGGTTGCAGCTTCGCTTCGCCAGTCTGCATGTGCCTCGCCCTCTCTTGTCACCCACACGAAACGCATAATTTCGGCGGGGGTCCAAATCGATCCCGATCGCCTCGCAGAGCGCTAGGCGACGCTCTCCGCCGAGCTCCGCGCCGCCCGACCGAGTTGGCGCTGGGGGACCTTCAAGACACTGGTCGTAGGATGGGCGACCTCCGCTCGCATGCACGTGCTTGAGCCGCGCAGTTGTCTGTTCGGACGCCCTGACCAGCCGGACTCATTCCCCCGCTACCTCTCCTGTCCTCGCCTCTCGAGCCCCCTTCTGGCCCCCTGACCCCCCTCCAATCCGCAATGCTTTAACGTCCTGGGCCTTGGGCCCCGCTGCTGCGCATCCGCTTGCGCCGAGCGAGTTGTCTTTGCGCGAGACCGTTCGCCGCGCCACGCTGGCCTTCCACATTTACACTAAACTGCGGACGGCATCGCCCCGCACGCCGAGCGCCGTCGCTGCAGCGCTGTCTGCCGCCCGCGCCCCGGTCACGCGCTAACTCGATCGCGGGCCATGTTGGGCATGAAAAGCAAGGGAGCGGGTGGAGGGCAGGGCTGTCCACGCAACGTTTGCCCCCCTGTTCTCGCTCGTCGCCTGCGCCTGTGCTCGGCGGCGCGCGTCGGAAGTGACTCGCGCCCCCCGGGGTGCCCGCGCTCCTCCTCGACGCTTTCCTCGTCGGGCCGCTCTCTTCTTCTCCCTTCAGGTTGGTCTTCGCGCCCCGTGCCCGGCGCGCCCCGCCGGCGCCAGCCCCCGCGCCTGCGACCACCAGCGCCGCCGAGAAAAGCTGTGTCCGTCGAAGGCGCAAGTTCCCCAGCATCGTTTAAAAAGAAGTTGTGGGTGGAAGGAAAAACGCGACGTTCGCCTGGGCGCCCGTCGGAGGAGCGGAAAAATGCGCGCGCCATGGCGTCGCGGCGACGACGACGGCGACGGCGACGACGACGGCGGCAAGGGCGACGGCGGCGACGACGAACATCGCGGCGACGGCGGCGACAGGGCCCGGGTCCTCGGGCGAACCTGCGCCCCGCCTTCGTTCCTGGAGTCCCGCGCCAGATTTTGCAGAAGGAGCGCAATTTCTGCGCGCAGTTTTACCCCGGTCGTTTCTCTGCTGTGCTAAAGATCTCTTTTTGCTTCAGTAAAACGTCTTTGTTTTCGGAATGTATTGAGCGGCGCGCCTGTACTAAAGCCGCTTCCTCGCTTGAGTACAGCCGCTTCCTCGCTTTAGTGAAGCCGCTTTCTCTCTTTAGTAAAGCCGTTTCTTCGTTTTAATAAAGTCCGCGGTCTGCCTTCGTAGAGCCCTGGGGATGCGGGGCCAGAGCCCGGTCGGGGGGCGGGGGGCCCGTGTCTTCCCTGCCAGTTCACCCAGCGATGCATTTGCTCGAGTAATCAGGGTCGCTTGACATCGGGTCGCGGCGATCCTTGGAGATGTTGTCAGCGAGTTGTAGATGCTCCTTGACAGGAGATCCAGGGCGCGAGCGCAGGACGTGGCTCGGCAATTCGGACGCACCGCCGCGGTTGTCACTCAACGTATCAACAGCACTTCACTAAAAGGCTGATTTCCTTCAGCAAAGAGCTCCTTCAAAGTAATAGTGTGAATCTTCCGCTTGCAATTCGGTTATTTTCTTCCCCGCCCCAGACCAGTTGATGTTAGAGTTCTGTGGGTGGGAAAATTCAGGCGAGCGCAAACATGGATCAAAGGGGCGTGGATTAGCGACGGGTCCCGCTTCCATGGGAAATCGCATATTTCCGCAGCCGTGGCGCACCTGCCGCATTTTAGGGAGGGCGCCTTTTCCCGATCCATGGATTTGGCGACCGCGCGCCAAACCCATGGATCGCTAATCCATGCTTGCGCGCCCCCGTAAAATGCTACAAACGCAACTTCGGAGGTGTGAGGCTGGGGGCAGGGGCAACTTTATGGGTGTGGGGGGGCAAGCAGGTTCAGGGGCGAAGGGATCGACCTCCAGTCGCCCATTCATCTCCGACAGGTGACCGATGGCCCCACCCCGCCCAGGAGCGTGCGGACGTGCCATGATGGGCCTGATCGCCGATTTGTCGGCGATGTATCGCCGATTCCAGCTCGATGCTTCTCCCTGAGCCAGATCCCCCCCAACGTCCCCCCTCACTTGAGGGGGCGGGAAGTGAAGGTGCCCCCGGGGGTGCGACCGCCTTTCCGGGACCCTCAAGGATTTACATGTTCATTCCCCGAGTAGGCTTGGCTATATGGAGTTCATACTTGGTAAAAGGCTGGTGCCTCGGAGTGTTAGTTTTGCCGAAATTCGGAGATTCCCTGGGTTCCCCTGGTTCTTTGGGTTCCCTGGGTTCCCTGGTGTCCCCGGCTTCCTGGGGTTTCCCGCCCCCAGTGCCTCGTATGCTTACCGTGCCCTTGCCAGGCAACGCCAAGCAATGCCAAGCAAGGGGTTCCTCGGGTTCCGTGGGTTTCCCGCCCCTGGAGCCGCGTATGCTTACTGTTCCCGTGGCGTGCAATGCCAAGGAATGCCAAGCAATGCCACGCTCGGGTTCCCCAGGTGTCTCGGGTTCCGTGGGTCCCCCGCCCCTGGTGCCTCCTATTCTTCTTGTGCCCGTTGCAGGCAACGCCAAGCAACGCCAAGCACTGCGCCCATGCAGTAGGAAGTTGTCCCCCAGTCGGGGTTCGCGCCAGGTTCAGTTCAACAAGCATCATGCTCCCTTGCAAGCACCAAAGCTGCTTGTCACAGGTGACCCATGCCAGATCTGCTGCAAGCGTTCTCTCCCTCTCTCTCTCACACACCAGGCAGGTCACACAAGCACCTCTTCGGTCGGCTTCGCGCAAGAGCGACCCTTCGCTTGAGCGACCTGTGGTGCGGGCCCACATGGGGTGCCCCCAGCACTGGCCCGAGGCGGCTTGCTCGCTGGAACTCGGCCCGCTCGCGGCCGGCCCCCCCCCAAGCCGCGAAGCAACGGTCGCTCTTACCTGGGACCAGCCTTTTGTTCCCCAATCAGTGCTTGCACTGAAGGGGTCCGAGCGGAAGTTGAAAGATTTGGCGCAAGCTTCCCGCCGAGTTCGGTGGCAGGCTGGGTTCCCGGGTTCCCTGTCCCGGGTTCCCGGCTTCCTGGTTATTGGTTCAGGGCCGATTTCGGTGGGTTCTGGGTTCCCGGGCTCACGGGTTCCCGGTCGATCTCCTAATCAATCTCTTTATCTACCCCACGATTCATGATCGATCTCATGATCGATCTCACGATTCATCTCACTCAATCGATCTCACCATCGATCTCATCGACCCATCCTCTGATTGGTGAAATTGAACAAGGGCGCCCTCGAGGGCGCGAAGTTCTTCTCGCTTCGCGGTTCGGCTCCGATTCCTCCTCATCCTCCCTTTCTCTCCTGGGAGGCGGCGCGAGAGCGCGGATTTTGTTCGCACCTCGCGCAGCGCGAAGCGCGAAGTTGGGAGCGCTGGATTCAAGACCAGGGCCTGCCCCAGAGACTCGTGGGATGCAGGACGGGAGGGCGGCCCGCGCGGGCTCCCCTTGGCGTGCGATCGCCCCAAGGCGGGGCAGGTTTCCGAGTCGAGTTGGGCGTGCGGCTCCCGAGGTGCAACTTCCTCGACCACTCAATGATGAAGGCGTGCAGGGGAGGAGGAGGAGGAGGAGGAGGAGGAGGAGGAGGAGGAGGAGGAGGAGAAGGAGGAGCAGGAGCAGGAGCCGGAGCAGGAGCCGGAGCAGGAGCAGAAGCAGGAGCAGGAGCAGGAGCCGGAGCAGGAGCAGGAGCAGGAGGAGAAGCAGGAGCAGGAGCAGGAGGAGGAGGAGGAGAACAGAAGCAGAAACAGGACGGGAGGGAACGGGAGGAGGAGGAGGAGGAGGAGGAGGAGGAGGAGGAGGAGGAGGACAAAGAGGGGGACGGGCAGGAGGAAGGAGGGATGAGCAGATAGAGGGAGGATGAGCCTCCTGGCTTCCTCGCCCCCCTGCGCTCCCAGCCCTCGCGGGGGAGGCCGACCTGCGCCCCTGCGACGGCCTGGACGTGTCCGGGGACTCGCGCGAGCCGGATGCCAAGGGGAGGCGCTGCCCGTTCGCCGTCGGCACCTGCGACGACGACGAGGTCCGCGGCGGCCCCACCGCTCGAAGGGTCCAGGCCTCCGCCGTCGCGGTCTGTTCCACCTGGCGGCCCAGGCCTCCGCTGGGAACCCCCGGAAGTCACGACGGGAGGTGTTCGGCAACTCTCGGGCTCCAGGGGCCCTCACCGGGCCTCCCGTGGAAACACGATCCGGGATGAAACACGACCCTGGGGAAAGGGTCGGGGCTTCGGAGACCGCGACTTGGACAAATCAGGACGCCCCATGTTTCGGAGGCCTCCGTCGTCGTGGTCTCACCAGGAAGCTATGCAGGTGCACATGGGGTGGCCAGCCTGGGCGAGAGCTGGAGGTGCACGTGGGGCCAGATGTCTCCCCGGCGCCGCTGGGCATTCGCTGGACGGTATGCTCCAAGTGGCCAGCGGCATCTCCTCCGGCGCCAGGCCCTTTGGTAGCCCAGGCACGCGGGCCATCCACACGTGGACCCAGCGCGCTGCCCACTCGTGCTCGTGTACCCTGCGCGTGGCCTCCAGGTGCTGCTCCAGCGAGTGAGTCCCGCCGCACATGCTTCCAGCCTCCCGCGCACCCTGCGCCGCCCCCGTTGCTCCGCAAGGGGGGTTCACGGCGGCAGGCCCCCCCTTCCCCCCCGGGCGTCCGGGTCGAGAAAGCGCTGCCTCGGAGGTCGGGCCCGGGAAGTCACGACGGGAGGTGTTTCGCTGCTTTCGGCCGCTGGGGGCCCTTCCTCGGCCCCGGGGGCCGTCAAAAAACTGCTCAGCGTGGAAAGCCGCTCCCGGGGAAAGGGTCCAGACCCTTGGGGGCTTCGTTGTGAAAGAATCACGGCGTCGGGGGTCTGGGGGGTCCAGAGGCCCCGGCCGCGAAGGCAAGCGAAGAGGGCCAGAAGACCTGGGGAAGAGTGGCCGGGGCGGCGAGGAACGGGGACACACACACACACACACACACACACGCACACCGACACACGCACACACACACACACACACACACACCACCACACCACGACGCACCAACACACACTCACACAACACGCACACACACACACACACACAACCATCTTCACGAAATTTCGCGCACACGCGCACACACGCACACGCACACCACACCACACGCACACCACCCACACACACACTACACTCACACACACACACGCATCGCACCAAACGCACGCACTGCACGCACGCACCACGCACGCACGCACGCACAGCACTCAACGCACACACACACACACACACACACACACACTTACTTTTGGCGGTGGCGGCCTCGCACGCGGCGACGAGGCAAAGGAAGTCGAGAGCGGTGGGGACGGGCGCGCGCGGCCGGGCCCTCAAGCGGGATCGCTGTGGATCGCCGCACGTGCCACCGGGGCGGCGGGACGCACATAGCCATCCCCGGGGGGGGGGCGGGGAGGAAGGAACACTGGCCATCCCACGCGGAGGTCGCAGCGCGCAGCCAGAGGCAGCAGCACGTGATCAGCCCGGCGAGGTTGGCGGGGAGGAGGGCGCCCGCCGCGCTGCGCGCGGACATCCCAGAAGTGGCGCAGAGGCGAGGAGAGAAAGCAGGACAGCTGCGGCAGTGCAGGGACACGCGAGGCAGGGAGACGGAGGCCGAGGGCGGGGGAGCAAAGTGCCTGGGGCGCGGAGCGCCTGGCCCTCCCGCGACCGGAGAGGTCGCCGGAGGGAGGCCCCGCCCGCGAAGGCAAGCGAAGAGGGCCAACACGACCTGGGTGCCCCCGGCTGGTGGGTCGAGCCCACCGGGAGACAGCTTTGGTCGGTAGGGAGCAGCGGGGGCTGCAGCGTGCACCCGGCTGCGCGTGCGCGACCACAATCCAAGTCCACACACGCGCACAGTCACACACACACACACATACACACACGCACACGCACACACACTTCCAAAATACACACACACACATACACACACACACACACAAACACAGACGCAAACACAAACAGAAAATCTTCTACGCTCGGCCATTCGACCGTGAAGTTGGGCGACGTCTCGCGCTAAAACAGCGCGTCCGTGTCACCAGACTCCCGGGGGGGCAGGAAGGCGGCTCCGCAGGAGCCGGGGCCTAAGGCGGGAGCGAAGGGGGTCGCGAGGGCCCGGGGGGCCCGCCCAACCCGCTGGGTGTCACCTGGAGGCCGTCGGCTGCGGACTCGTCAGCTTCGCGGAGGCCGATGCCGCTGAGCGCTGCAGGGAAAGGATGGGCACAGGCTGCAGAATTCAGCAGCGCAGATCTCCCCCAAAGGCTGCAGACCCTGACGTCACTGCCCCTTCTCCTCCTCCTCCTCCTGCTCCTCCTCTGCCTACTCCTCCTCCCTCTATTCATTGGGTCAGGGCTTGATTGATCCGTACGGGCGTTTGCAGCGCTTCGGACTCGCCAGCTTCGTGATGCCAGCGCTGAGCGTGGAGAGGTGCGCCGCCACAGGTGTGGGCTCACCTCCCGACTCCGAGAGAGCGGCAGACGGGGCGCAGGCGCTGCTGGTCCAGCAACGGGATGGTGGACTTGGCATCGCTCGGACGTGTGCATTTTTTCTCGGCGAGAACCATCGAGGGCCATCCTGGACCATCGAGCAAAAAAAACACGCACGAAACCGACGAATGCACGGGAAATGGACGTCCGAGCGACGGCAGGCGGAGAGGCGAGCTCACCTGGAAGCCTCCATGGCCAGCAGAAAGAGAGCGCAGCGGTTCCGGCCCGACCGTGGCCCCCCGGGGCACTCGCTCCGGGGCCCGGCTCCGTGGCAGCCGCAGCGCAGGGCGCGAGGCCCGTGGGCGCGCGGGGCCTCTCCAGGGCCGACGCTGGGCCGGTGGAGGAGGTGCCTGCTGGCCTCGGGGGGGGGGCCTGGCGCCCGCGTCGTCGAATCAGGGGCGCCTCGCTCGGAAAATGGGGGGAGGTGCAAGAATCGGGAGGGGGAAAAACACACACACACACAGTTGATCGTCGATTCCCCCGAAAATCTGGGAAAATATGGGAAGTGGGGGGAAGACAGAAACCCAGAAAATATATGAAAATATTGGGAATAAATTGATTTGTGTGTATTTATTTGTGTGTCCTGGGGCCCCTTCATGGTGGAGGAGGTGCTGGCTGCTGGCCTCGGGGGGGGGCCTGGCGCCTGCGTCGTCAAATCAGGGGCGCCTCGCTCGGAAAATGAGGGGAGGTGCAAGCAGCAGAGGTTCCTGGCATCGCTTGGACGTGTGCATTTTTTTCTCGGCGAGAACCATCGAGGACCCTCGTCGACCAACGAGCTAAAAGAAACACGCACGAAACCGAAAAATGCACGGGAAATGGACGTCCGAGCGACGGCGAGGGTTGGGGCTATTGGGTGGGCAGGGCCCGTAAGGGGGGGCGTCTCGGGTCGGAGCGGGGGGAGCGGCGTGTTCGGCGCGGGAGGCCCCGCGACAGGCAGGGCCGGACCCCGCGGGAGCCGCAGGCCCAGGGGGGGAAAGGCAGGCCCCCGAGGGGCCCCGAGCCCCGAGGGGCCCGCCGAGGGGCCGTCGATGGCCATCGTCGGCGCCACGCGATGCCCAGAGCCCGACCTCCTGGGAGGGGGCAGCGGAGGGGTCGGCGTGTGGGAGCGGGAGGTGCGCCGCAGCGAGCGCCGGAGCAGGGGAGAGAAGCGAGCAGAGTGGTGAGGCGACCCTGACTCCGGATCCGCCCTACTTTGGGGAAATTCTTAAGTAGGGCTTGGAATTTCCGCCTTACTTTTCAAGCCCCGCTGATGCCAATTTCCGCCCTACTTTTCTGTTGCTGTTTCTGTGGATGTCCGCCCTATTTTGTGTTGGGTGCAGCAATTTCCGCCCTACTTTTCCGGCCTCTTATAGGTGGATTTCCGACGCAATTTTAAGTTGGAAAAAAAGCCAAAAAGTAGGGCGGATCCGGAGTCACGGACATTTCCGGAGCTCCGGGGCCACCAAGGGGTGGGGGGTGGGTGTCCCGGTGAGGCGCCGCTGGATCGCAACAGCCAGCCAGTGCAACCGCAAAGCCGCCGTCAGCGGCGCCACTCGGCTGCCGGTGGCTGCCGCTCCTGCGCCCGCCAAGCCCTGCTCGGCGGGAATAAAAAAAAATAAAAAAAAAAAAAAAAAAAAAAAAAAAAAAAAAAAATAAAAAAAAAAAAAAAAAAAAAAAAAAAAAAAAAAAAAAAAAAAATAAAAAAAAAAAAAAAAAAAAAAAAAAAAAAAAAAAAAAAAAAAAAAAAAAAAAAAAAAAAAAAAAATAAAAAAAAAAAAAAAAAAAAAAAAAAAAAAAAAAAAAATAAAAAAAAAAAAAAAAAACCCCACGCTTCGGAGTGCGTAAGACCCGGGTTTGCCAGGACTCGGGTTCGCCATCGTTTTTTTGACGACCGCGCCTCGGATTTTGACGAGGAGGAGTTTCGTGGGATGTCTGCAGCGGGAGGCCTCGTCAAAATGCAGGCTCGGCCTCGTCATTTTTTGACGACCTCGTCGGGGATTTCCGAGTTCCCTGTACCCAGGTCTTACGTTCCCCTGAACGTTCCCGCTTTCGGAGGGCCCTGAAAATCTGGCTCAGCGCGAGGGGCGAGGGCGTAAGGATCTACGTAGGAGGTGCGCCCCGATGGGAGCTGGCGCACTCACTCTCCGAAAGGGGGGCCACGAGATCCAGGGCGGGGGGCATCGGACGAGGCCCCGTCACTGTCAAAGCAGGGCCCCTCGGGGGTCCCCTGGGGCCTCCCGAGGCCCAAAACGAGGACGGAAGCTGGAGACCCGGTCAGGGGGGGTCGCGCCCCAGCGCCGGCGGGGTCCAGCGAGGGGGGGCAGCGCTGGCGAAGGGGTTGGCTCCTCTCGCGGTGGGGGGGGGGCAGGGATTGGGGCCGCCCAGACAAGCGTCCTCCCAGCCGTCGTCGGGAGGGTCGGGCCTGTGACAGAGGGAGAGATCCTGCGGTTCGGCACATGGCGTCGGGGCGGTGGAAGAGATGGGAGACGGGAAGGAGGAAGGACACCGGGTTGGGACGTCATCGGGGGGAGAATGGGGAAGGGTCCATCGAGGAGTCGTGGGACCAAATTGGTAGAGGTCCAAAGTGACCCACCCCTGCGGGGCAGCCACGTCCAGAATATGCTCTTGGAGTACCCCAGTGAGGTACTCGTAAGTATGGGTGGGGGTGCGGATGTCCAGCCGATTTGGTGAGAATGGAGGCCACTTGTGCCTCGTTGGCGAGGACTGAGGGAGCCTGAGCAGCCGTACGTACCTCTTGCATCCCCCACCAAGTGGCCAGCACGTGTAAGCCCTTTAAGTTCAGGTTTGTTCCGTCCAGAGCGGCGCAGGCACACACACACACAAACACACACACACACGACAAAACAACAACAGCGACAACAACAGCAGCAACAGCAGCAACAACAACAGCTACAGCAGCAACAACAACAGCAGCAGCAACAACAACAACAACAACAACAACAACAACAACAACAACAACAACAACAACAACAACAACAACAACAACAACAACAACAACAACAACAACAATCATTTAAGACTGGGGACACTCCGTTCTCACCAGTGCCAGGGGTTTCATAGGAGGCGGGCAATACCCCCACTTTGTGGGGGGGCCGGTTCAAGCTCTACCAAATTTCCAAACGACTCTTCGCCACCACCCACACCCAGCTTCCCGCCCTATGACGTTCGGACACTTCACTTCGTGGCATGCGGACGACCGTGGCTACTATTCAGGGCCCCGCGGCCGACGACGACGGCGTGCGCGCGCGAAGAAAAAACAAATGTGTCCCGCATGGTATTATTTGACAGGGATGATGGCCCTGGCAGGTGCGCAACCGTTGTCGCAGAAGTTCGAAAAAGTTGCTCGCAAAAGCCCGTTTGACAGAAATGTTTAAAAAGGGTTGGTTTTCCTACGAATCCGCAAGAGCGCGCGGGATGAGATTTTGACATTTTTTTGTTGAAAAACCATTGGTTTTTGATGTTTTTATGTTAAAATCGCTCCGAACACTAAGCTTTTGGAAGGATTTCGTCTTGCGCGCGCGAATGTCCACTTTACCTTATTTTTTTGCAAGGGATTCTTGAAATTTGATTATATTAGAACAAGAAATGTCATTTTCTATTGTTTTTTGCAAGGGAAAGCGGATTACAACAAAACAACCGGATCCTGTACACAACCTCTTTTCTGAGGCTTCCTCACGAAAATGATGAAAATGTAGCTGCGGCCTAGGCGGCGCAGGGGGGGCGCGCACCAGGGGGCCCAACAATAATTATTCTTTAGAATAAATAATGTTCAACAACAACAACAACAGTAACAACAACAGCAACAACAACAGCAACAGCAACAGCAACAGCAACAGCAGCAACAACACCAAAACACGGACAACGACAACGACAGCAGCAACAACAGCAACAACAACAAAAACAAGCACACAGACACTTGTTGGCGTCGCGGCAACCCGCGCAACGGCGCGGCGTCAACAGTCGGGAGACGAGAGGCGCGCGACCGGCCCACGCCACGCGGCGTGGGGATGACGGATTTGCCCACAGGGGCTCGACAGCATCGCCTACAGGGGGGGGCCTGTACGCGAGGGGAGCCGCGGGATTTTGACGGGAAGACGCGTGCGAGCAGGGAGGCGGAGCCGGAGCAGTGCACAGCGCAGGCAAGAAGGACGAGGCGCAACAGGCACACACTCACACACACACAAACACACGCACGCACGCACGCATGCACGCACGCATGCACGCACGCACGCACGCACGCACAAACAAACACACATACACATGCACACACACACACACGCACGCACACACACACACACACACGCACGCACTCACGCACGCACGCACGCACGCATGCACGCACGGCACGCACACACACACACACACACACACACATACACATACACACACAATAGTTCACGCACCCACACACAGACACACACGCGCACACACACACACACACGTATCTATATATATATATATATATATATATATATATATGTCATATAGGGACGCACCGCCACTTTGTCGTGTGGTTTTCGGGTCACTGCTCAGGTTTCCCACGGCCGTTCGGGACGATCCGGGCTCCCCCGGAACGCTCTTGGCGAGGCACAGCTGCTGGAGAACACCCCGAGGCTGGAAAGCTCGCAGCAACCGCCGAAAAGCGTCCGATCAGCTCGCGTCTCGTCTGGCATGATTTCCTGCTCGTCCTTACCCCTCCATGACATCCGCTGATGTGAATTTTCCCATGCGCGGTCCCATAAGTCCCGACCGCTTCCTGGGAAGCGTTGTTCTTCCCGGATGCATGTCCGATGGTCCTTCCCAGAGGCCGAGGTCGAGGAAGAAAACCAGGCTGAAAAAAAACATCGGTCACCCCCTCTTGCCGCTTGCAGTCAAGATTTTGGGCTTAGCGTGTCGCGCCCGTCGCGCTGCGGCGCGACACGCTAACCATGTCCCAGTCCCCGAGCGTGAACGTCCCGAGCTGTTCTCAGTCTCCCGCCCCGCGGAGCGGAGCGACACGCCGTCCGCTTACAGGGCACGACGCGTCGCTGGGGCCGCCGCCGCGACACGCTAAGCTCAAGTCGGGCCCGTCCCTCTACAGGGGGAATATTCAAAAATAGACACAAAAATAGTATGGGGACTATTTTTTGAGTATTTTTGAATATGTTTGTTTTAAGTTCGGCCAAGATCGGCCTGTAGGGGGACAGGCCCGACTTAACGCTAAGCAGAAGTTCCCGACCGTGGAGGGGCGGGACCGATGCGGGCCCGAGGTGCAGCACCACGGCCTGTGCTTCAAGGTGCAGAGGGCCCTCTCGGGGAGCCTGCGAGGCCACCAGCGGGTGCGGCTGCCTCGAGCTCCAGCCTCGGAGGCCTGCAGGTCGGCGCCGCCACCAAGATCGACAGCCACCTCCGAACGAGCGCGCTATTCAGCCAGATCCCCTCGAATCGCGACAAAGAACACGACGGCTTGTTCTTACCATTTTCGGCCTCTGGGGGCCCTCGCCGGGCCCAGCACCGTCAACAAAACGGCTCGGGACGAAAGGCTGGCCTTGAGGACGGGGTCGAGAACTCCGCGGGCCCACTTTGCTCGCATGCCTGGGTCTGTGGTCGCCTCAGGGCGGGGGAGGTTTTGAACCACCCTCTCCCCTTCCCCCCCCAAAACATCCTGGACGTCTGGAGGCCGTGGGGATCCCCCCCCCCAGAACACATGGGGGTGGCAACTCTCCCCACCCCCCTCCCACTCCCCGAAGGGGGCGGGGAGTCCACTCCCCTCGGGGACAACGACAGACGACGACGACGACGACGACGACGATGACGACAGACGACGACGATGACGACAGACGACGACGATGACGACGACGCGTCCCGCCCGACCGGCCGGCACGCCCACGACGACGAGGGCATCGCCGTTTGCCGGCGCCGGGGGCGGGGCGGGAGGAGTTATCCCGGATGTCAGGCCAATCCCAACCGATTGGCGCCATTCGGGTATGGCCAGGACCCCGGGTAAGGGGACCCGGTTAGTGGTAGGGCCCCGGAGCATTCGAATTGGCCAGAATCACTAAACCAGGTTTGCCATAGCTGGTGTTTTTTCGGGTGACGGCAGTTCCGGTTAGTGGAAATGGGACGGGGGGACGCCCCCGGTACAGATCACTAAACCAGGTCCCACTAAACTTAGTTCTACCAACGCCCGAACCATTCCCCAATCAGTGCTTGCACTGAAGGGGTCCTAGCGGAAGTTGGGTTCCGGGTTCCCGGGTTCCCGATTATTGGTTCTGGGCCGATTTCGGTGGATTTTGGGTTCCCGGGCTCCCGGGTTCCCGGTCGATCTCCTCAGCGAAAGCCATCCATTGATTGGGGCGTTTTTTTTGTACAATATATTGCACCAAAGAAATTGTTATACCAATTACAGCCAATAACAGCCAATAAGAGTATACCAATTACAGCCAGCCATCTTGAGCCGATAGTACGACTCGATGCTGAAGCGATTCAGAAATCGAATGCACGTTTCAGGAGTATGCATTTGTTCTGGTAAGCAACATGAGCGCCACGATTTAAGGTTATGCTGGTTTGTAATGTGTCATCTGGGAGTTGTGTTGTTTTGAAAGAAGCGGGCAGCGGTTGCCAACATCATTGGAGCTTTACGGTTGGCGTATGATAACTTGCCAGTGTTCGCACGACAGCTGCGTAAATCTTCGTGCTGATTCGCATTCATGTAAGAGCTGCGAGGGTTTCATCAGCGAGCAGTACAGTACTGAAAAACAATATGTGGATATCTATCAGAAAATTTGACAACTCCAAGCGATAATCTCACCGTGCAGATATAGAAACTTCAGCTGCCAAGCGAAACCAGGAAACAGGTTTCATGTGCGCAAGTTGCACAAATGATCTGCCACATGGCATATGACACCTCGAGGTGTTGCGTAATATGGCGTGGGGCCGGTATGATTTTTACATGGTATTTCCAGGACTTCTCATGTGGAAAGTGTGTTTCTTGCTTGTATTATGTTGTCTGCATCCATGCCATGTTATTGCGTCGTCATCAGTTTTTCATTACGAAAACAATAGATGTGTTCGTTTGGTGCGTAGTGCTTGTTGTTTTCTTGTGCTGGAATGGTGTGGTACTGCATCTGTTTTGACTCCCAATGAATATTGAGTTAGCATGCGACAATCCAAACATGCCGTTGCAGTGTTAAGAGCTTCTTGCAAGCACATACAATGAGACATGGGCCGATCCCAGCCTTCCGCAGAATCTGTTACGTGGCATTCGTTTTCAATTCAAAGTCAAGAAAACATATGCTGAGCTCACCCCCCCCCCCCAGGAGAATTAGCTTAGTGCTTCACGTGGTTGTCAATGGGACTTTAGTTTAAAAATGCGCTGATCCCAGCCTCGCGCAGAATTTGTTGTTTTTTCCCAACCATCCTGTGGTGGTGGGTCCTCGTTTTGAAGAGACGGTGCCCCGCGTTCCTCTCCTCTCCTCTCCTCTCCTCTCCTCTCCTCTCCTCTCCTCTCCTCTCCTCTCCTCCTCTCCTCCCCTCCTCTCCTCCTCTCCTCTTCACCCACCCAGTACACCGCTTCGTGGCTCCATAGGGAGCTCCACCGAAGGCCCCAGTGCCCGCGCACGCATGCGTCACCCACACCCATGTCGGCACACCCCTCACACGTTTCGTGGCTCCATAGGGAGCTCCACCGAAGGCCCCAGTGCCCGCGCCCGCATGCGTATCCTCACCCATTTCGGCAACACTCACACACTCCGTGGCTCCTTAGGGAGCCTCACCGCTCCGCCGAACGGCCCCAGTGCCCCCGCACCCGCTTGCGTCACCCAACCCATTTCGGCACACCCCTCTCTACGCTTTCGTGGCTCCTAGGGAGCTCCACCGAAGGCCCCAGTTGCCCGCGACCGATGGCGTCACCCACACTCTTTCGGCACACCCCTCACACGTTTGTGGCTCCATAGGGAACTTCCCCGAAGGCCCCCTGTGCTGCCGCCGCATGCGTCACCCACATCCCAATTCGCACACCCTCACACGTTTCGTGGCCCCATAGGAGCCCCACCGAAGGCCCCAGCGCTGCCGCCCGCATGCGTCCCGCACACCCAATTCGGCACACCCCTCACACGTTTCGCGGCCCCATAGGGAGCCCCACCGAAGGCCCCAGCGCTGCCGCCCGCATGCGTCCCGCACACCCAATTCGGCACACCCCTCACACGTTTCGTGGCCCCATAGGGAGCCCCACCGAAGGCCCCAGTGTTGCCGCCCGCATGCGTCCCGCACACCCAATTCGGCACACCCCTCACACGTTTCGTGGCCCCATAGGGAGCTCCACCGAAGGCCCCAGTGCTGCCGCCCGCATGCGTCACGCACACTCAATTCGGCACGCCCCTCACACGTTTCATGGCCCCATAGGGGACCCATAGGGAGCTTCGCCGAAGGCCCCAGTGCTGCCGCCCGCATGCGTCACGCACACTCAATTCGGCACACCCCTCACACGTTTCGTGGCCCCATAGGGAGCTCCGCCGAAGGCCCCAGTGCCGCCGCCCGCATGCGTCACCTACACCCAATTCGGCACACCCTCACACGTTTCGTGGCCCCATAGGGAGCTCCACTGAAGGCCCCAGTGCCGCCGCCCGCATGCGTCACCTACACCTAATTCGGCACACCCTCACACGTTTCGCGGCCCCATAGAGCTCCGCCGAATGGCCCCAGTGCTGCCGCCGCCAGCGTCCGCACACCCAATTGTCGGCACCCCCCTCACTACGTTTCGTGGCCCATAGGAGCCCGCCGAAGGCCCAGCGCTTGCCGCTGCATTTGTGCGTCACGCACACCCAATTCGGCACCACCCCTCACACGCTTCGTGGCCCCATATGGAGCCCCGCCGAAGGCCCCTGTGCTGCCGCCCGCATGCGTCACCCACACCCAATTCGGCACACCCCTCACACGTTTCGTGGCCCCATAGGAGCTCCGCCGAAGGCCCCGGTGCAGCCGCCCGCATGCGTCACCCACACCCAATTCGGCACACCCCTCACACGCTTCGCCCCATAGGGAGCTCCGCCGAAGGCCCCAGTGCTGCCGCCCGCATGCGTCACGCACACCCAATTCGGCACACCCCTCACACGTTTCGTGGCCCCAAAGGGAGCTCCGCCGAAGGCCCCAGTGCTGCCGCCCGCATGCGTCGCGCACATTCATTTCGGCACACCCCTCACACGTTCCGTGGCCCTATAGGAGCTCCGCCGAAGGCCCCAGAGTGCCCAGGCACACCCCTCACACGTTTCGTGGCCCCATAGGAATGCACACCCATTTCGGCATACCCTTCACACGTTTCGTGGCCCCATAGGGAGCTCCACCGAAGGCCCCAGTGGGTGTGCCCGCATGCGTCCCGCACATCCATTTCGGCACACCCCTCACGCGTTTCGTGACCCCTCGCACGTTTTGTGGTCCCATAGGGAGCTCCACCGAAGACCCCAATGGGTGTGCCCGCATGCGTCCCGCACACCCATTTCGGCACACCCCTCGCACGTGTCGTGGCCCCGTAGAGGGGCTCCACCGGAGGTCCCAGTGCTGCCGCCCGCATGCGTCCCGCACGCCCATGTCGGCATACCCTTCACACGTTTCGTGGCCCCAAAGGGAGCTCCGCCGAAGGCCCCAGTCTGTGTGCCCGCATGCGTCCCGCACACTCATTTCGGCACACCCCTCACGCGTTTCGTGACCCATCGCACGTTTTGTGGTCCCATAGGGAGCTCCACCGAAGGCCCCAGTGGGTGTGCCCGCATGCGTCCCGCACATTCATTTCGGCACACCACTCGTACGTTTCGTGGCCCCGTAGAGGGGCTCCACCGAAGAAGATATTCACAATTGCGGTACTCACAATAGCATATGGTTGGGTCCTTCGCCAGGATAATTAGATGTGTTTTCCAGTCGGGTTGCAATCGGACACGCGCTGACCCCAGCCTCCCGCATAAATCTCTAATATTTCATGTGCTCGGCAATCAGAATTCAGTAGGACACGCGCTGATCCCCCCCGCAGAATTCTATAATGCATTACTTGTACGACCACCCTTCGGGTGAAAATGAGGTTGATGGTGGGAGAAAGAACCAAATGGCGATAACTGCGATGCTGGCACACCAATCGGGACACCATCGGAACACCACTCGAGGCACCTATCGGGACACCTCCAGGACACCACCGAGACACCATCGAAACACCACCAGGACACCATCAGGTCACCATCGATCTCACGACTGATCGCATTATCGATCTCGCTATGACTGATCGTATTATCGGTCTCGCTATCCGTCTCACTCGATCGATCCCACCATCGCTCTCACTCGATCGATCTCACGTTTGATCTCACTCTAGATATCACTAGTGATCCAATGATCGAGCTCACGATCGGTCTCACTATCGATCCCACTATCGGTCCCACGATCGATCTCACCACAGGACACCGACGGGACACCGAAGGGACACCAATGGGACACCCGCGGGACACCGACGGAACGCCGGGACACCACAGGATACCATCGGCACACCATCTGGACACCAGTCGATCTCATGTTCGATCTCCCTATCGACCTTACTCGCTCGATCTCACTATCGATCTCACTCGATCGATCTCACTATCGCCCTCACTACCGATCTCACTATCAATTGCACCATCGGTCTCACGATCGATCTCACCGTCGATCTCACCATGGGCAACAAAAAGACAGAAGGGACACTCACAGGACACCGACGGGATGCCGACGGGACACCACAGGATACCATCGGGACTCCATCGGTGCACCAATCGATTGCATGTTCGATGTCACTATCGATCTCACCATCGGTCTTACTATCGATCTCACCCGCTCGATCTCACCATCGATCTCACGATCGACCTTATTATAGATCTCACGATCGATCTCACCACGGGACTCCGACGGGACACCGACGGGACACCAACGGGACAACAATGGGACACCAACGGGACATCGACGGGACACCGACGGGACATCGACGGGACTTTAACGGGACACCGACGGGACATCAACGGGACACCGACGGAACATTGACGGGACAGCCACGGAACATTACGAAGACACCGACGGGACACCACGGCGTGACAACCCGGCTTCCGCCCGCCCACCAGGGAGGGAGGAAGGCAATCAATGGTTCTTGACCCGCCGTAGCCACAGCGGAGTCATTCCCCTCGCCCGCCCACGCAGCTTCCTCTCGCACTCACGACAAAACCGAAATCAAGTTCCCAGTGGGGGGCTCTCCGTTCCATGTCGATCTCACCCCCCAGCCTCCGATGTGCTTGGCATTCGGAAGTCAATAGGACATGCGCTGATTCCGCCCTCCCCCAGAATTCTATAGTTTGCGATTTGTTGATCAAATGGGATCCAATCGAGCCTCTCGCAAAATTATGTCCTAGTTTGTTTTCTATTAGAAAGCGAATGTATTAGGAAATGCGTTGGTCCGAGCCTCCCGTAGAATTCTTGACTATTCCGTGCGCCTTTCAGTTGGAAATTGATAGGGTGCGCGCCGACCCCAGCCTTCCACATCAGATTCCATGTTCTAGATGTTTTTGAGTACGGCTTCCATCGGAAATGCGCTGCACTCAGGAATCCTGAGGAATCTCAGAAGAAACCTTGAGAAATATCTGAGGAACCTTGAGGAAACCGACGGAATAGGTTGAGGAATCCTCGAGAATCTCTGAGGAATCCATGCGGAATCCTGAGGAATCCCTGAAAATCCGGAGGGTTCTTGGGAAATCCTTGGGGGGGTCCAGAGGAATCAGTAGGGAATCTCTTAGGGATCGTTGAGGAGTCTCCGAGGAGGTTGTAAAGAACCCATGGAGGCCTGTAAGAAATCCCGAGGGAATCGTCTTGAATATTTTCTAAGTGGTATCGAAGGAGTTTTCAAGGAATCGCCAAGGAATCCCCCAGGAATGTCTCAGGAAACTTTAAAAAGAGCTTCCACAGCGATTGGACTTGGTATTAGCTGGTTGGAAGTGGTACCAAAATCGTTGGGGTCCGTCCCAATCGGTTGTAATCCGTCCTGTTTCCGAGTTACCCCTCCCCTTGCTCGAGGGGTGGTGGTGGGGGGTTTGGGTCGGGGGATGATTCTCACCCAAACGCCCGTCAAGCGCGCTCTTGCTCACCTCCAGAGGCCCAAGTGTGACCGCCAGCTCCAGGACCGTGGGTCAGCCCCCATCGACAGAGGTGATCCCAGATCTTGGTAGTGGTGTCGATGTGTGGGCCTTCCACAGCTGACTGGGGCACGAGCCGTGCAACCTGAGCTCGACCGAGCTGTTGACGCGAAGCTCCTTTTCGAATTCGCCGCGACCGCACTGCGGAGAGGGACGGAGGTGCAAAGGCCTTTCGACTCGACCTCAGGGTGGGCGGGCCAGCAAGGACGCCAAGCCATCGCCGAGGCTGGGACTGCGATGAGCAAGTTGAGGCACGAGGATGCCACCTGGCCAGAGCGGCCACCGCTGGCGAACAGGAGCGGCGCGGTGTGAGTCCTCGGGCGGCCCACGCATGGGTGCCTCGGGCTGGCGTGAAGGGTGGCAACTGCAGGCCGTTTGCACTGGCCAGTAGGACGATAACGTTTCTGCACGTGCGAGCGGCGAGCCGCCATCAAAGCCACGTCTGCGTTGCCCCTTTGCCACGTTGGCCCAAGCGGGCCGAGCAGGCTAGGAAAGTAACGTGTTGACATTATCTGCAGGAGAGCCGCATCCTCATCACAGCAATTTCCGACCTCCGTGATGCCGCTTTGGCCCAAGCGGGCCGAGTCGGGTGTCGTGCAGGTGCGGTCTTAGCTTTGGACAGAGGAGGGGGATAACGAGAGGCGGAGGAGGAGAAGGTGACAATGGAGCATCAGGATGAGGCTCAGGACGAGGAGCAAGAAGAAGACCCGTATGATCAGTTACGGTAGAAAGATGAGGAGGAGGAGGAGGAGAAGTAGAGGGAGGAATGTCGTGATGAGAATGACGATAAAAATGCAGGGGGGATGGGGGAGGGTGGAGGGGGGAATAGATCCCCCAAGCGGTACTTGCACTTAGGGGATCCTACTTGTGTTCTAAGGCAACCGTGCCCAAGAGCTGGTCCTGCTGGCTTGTCGCCGCCCGTCGCGCCGTCCGTCGCCGCCGTTTGCATTGGGCCATGGTGCCTGTCTGGCCAGCTCGTCGCCGCCCGTCGCCGCTTGGGCTGCGGTGCCAGTTCGGCCGGTCCCGTCGCCGCCCGCCGTTGCCCGCCGCCGCCGTCCGTCGCCGCCATGTGCATTGAGTGCCTGTCTGGCTGGCTCGTCGCCGCCGTCCGTCGCCGCCATCTGGACTCGTCCACCTGCACTCGTCCACTCGCACTGGCCAATTCGCATAGCATAGTGTAGCACAGTTTACCGCAGCACAGTTTCGCTCAGCATAGCATAGCACAGAAGGGCACAGCATAGCATATGAAAGCATGGTGCAACCAAAGTGGTGCGACTTAACGTTGCACCCAATCGATTTCATTGCGGAGATTGCCCCGTATGGATTGGCCTTGCATTGATTGCACTGCATATATTGCCTTGCGTAGCTGCATCGCACATATCACATCGCATATTATGCTAGATCACACTGTCTGGGGCCCACGCTGGTTAGCATACACATTGGCAGAGTGAGTGATATATAATGATAGTTTCACATGTGAACGCAGGTACGCATACACATATCGAAATCCAAAATCCATATATTACGTATACACTGCTAGAGAAAGACATGTATGTGTGTTTGTGCACATTCGCATTTGAAACTATATATACACACATACACGTGCTCCCCCTTCATACAGTCTGCCTTGTTGTCGATGTTTGTTCCACTTATTTCTTCATCCGTCCTCCCCCTCATCTGCTTTCCACTGTCCGCCCGCATCGTTCTGATTACTCTCTGCAGCCACGTCCTAAGCTTCTGCTCCCCCCCTTCTTCACCATCACGGGGATTATTTGACAATATATTTTCATCCACTTTCTCACCCCCTTCTTCATCACCTTCTTCTTCTTCCACCTCGCTCTCATCCCATCCCCCTCCTCAGCCGTGCCATCATGTTTCAGCCACGTCGCCATCAAGCCAACAGCTTTCTTCCCAATGCCCAGACGAACGTGTGTTATGTTGTGTCGTAGTGTGATGTATGGTTTTGTTTCGCGTTGTGTTGCATGGTGTGTTGTATGATGAGTTGTCTTAATGTGTGAGGACCGTGCTGAGCGACGGGCTCAAGTACGATTGAAGGATGTGTTTTGTAACCCGTCACAAGAAGGAATACATGTGCAATCAGCCACAAAAAAGAAATCCTTGACGCAATCGCCCCGGAGGGAAGGGGGGCCTCCTCCCCGAGCACGCAAGGGGAAAGCATGAAAGGAGGAAACATCGGGAAAGCATACACAACGCAACGTCCAACAATGTAAGATGAAAGCACTTCAGGGGTGGGCAGGAACAATATTAAACGTTGAACTGTGGCGCCTGACCAAAGGATTCCCTGCGTGGCACCGTACAGGCAGAAGTTCTTTTGCAGCTGATTGCAAAAGGATTCCTGCTGTGGCAGCTTTGATTACACAAATTCATGTGTGGCGTATTGCAAAAGCGTCAATACTACAGCAACCCATTGGAAGGCCACCATGCAGGAAACCGGTTCGCCAGGCCACCACATTACATGTGCTCTTGTCTGCCCCCCCTAGACAAGTTCAAGTTCTTCGTATTGAGGGCCGTCTCCCGAGGCGGTTGCGAGAAGGATTCCACTTGCGGCGGGTTACAGATGTATTCGTCTTGTGGCGGATTAAAAGAGGATTCCTTGTTGCACATGTGTCGTGGTTGACACGTGGATTCTTTTTGCGGTTCATTGCAATAGGAATCCTTTTGTAGCGACTTGCAAAAAAATATGTATTGGGGCAGCTTTCAAAGGAGGACTCATTTGTCTTGCGGCGGATTACAACAGATCCAATACTACAGCCACGGGTACGGCAGCCACAAAGGGGATCCCTGTCTTCGGGCTGCCACAACTCGTTTCCGAGAACTCCCTTCCTTCCTCTCCTCAGTTTCCTCCTCCCTCTCTCATCCCTCCCTTCTCTTCCCATTCTCCTCCTCATCCTCCTCCTGCTACTCCTCCTCATGTTCCGTTGTTCCTCCTCTTCCTCCTCGTTCTGGTCACCATCCCTCCTCCGCCTCTTTCCCGTCCCCCCTGAGAGGAAGAGGGCCTGCCCCCCGGCACGCACTCAGGCGGCTACGCGGCCACCTGGCACAGCACGCACTGCTGCCAGGCCCCGCGGGCTCGGCTTTCGCACGACGTCTGCGGGGGGGAGCCAGGGGCCACGTTAGTCGGAAACTGGACCATATACAATACCAGTGGCGAGTTGTTTTTTCAATCCCAAGACTTTTTGAGGGTCGGGGACGTCGTCGGGGTGGTGTGGCGTATACTTGTCCCCCGTTGTCCAAGGGAAACAACGACAAAGTATACACCAGGACCCCGTACACACCAGGATCCGCGTTCCTGTGCGAATTCCAGCGCAGGGTCGGAAAAAGCGTCGGTGTATATAGAGTTCGTTTCCCTAGCTCTTGGTATCCCTCGGACGTGTGCACTCTTCCTCGGCGGGGATTGGTAAGGAGCACCCTGGATCATCCAGCGAGAAAAAACCACGCGCGAGACCGAAAAGAGCACAGGGAATGGACGCCCGAGCGATGGCCATCGCTGGGGGGGCGACGGGGTTTCCAGCTTCGAGGTGTTCGGACGTTGCCCAGCTCGCCCTCCGGCCGCCTGATGCCCCGCCCGCCTGCGCCCTGTCTCCCCAATTAGAGCTGTTGTGCGTAGCCCGCCTAGCTTTTACCGGTAGAGGTTCGCTCTCGCCCCGCAGACCAAAAAAGGTGTTCGGACGTTGCCGTCGGCCCTCGGCGGCTCTCGGCGGCCTCGGGAGCGCTCTCCGGCGACTGCGCCGCGCCGCGCCGAGGGCGTTCGCCTGGAGCGCCCGGGTCAGCCAGGACGGCCGCGGGAGAGCCGAGCCATGGCCCGAAGACAAAGGGGCCACATTGAGGGGGGGGCTCCTCCTGCTTCTCCTCCTCCTCCTCCTCCTCCTCCTCCTCCTCTTCCTCCTCCTCCTCCTCCTCATGCACATCCTCCTCCTCCTCCGCCTCCTCCTGGGACTGGCTCAACCGTGGGGGCGCGAAGGGAGTCGCGCCTCGCGTCTCTCAAGCGTCGAGCTTCGAGGTTTTCTCGGATGTCTTCGTCGGTCCTCGGCCGGTCCTTCTCGTCCGGGGATGCTCTCCGGCAGCCGCGCCTCGCCGAGAGCGCTCTCCGGGGCCTTGCGCGGATCGTCGCCCACGGCCGCGGCAGGGCCGCGGCAGGACCCGAGAACGAAGGGGCAGACGTTGGCAACTCAGGAGCGGAAAAAGGCCGCACACGTACACGCTGGTTTCGAGAGTACGCATTGCGCAAAGATTCGTGCAACGCGGCCAGTCCTGCAGGTCGAGGGGCCGTGTTCATGTACATGGGCGCCCCAGGGGGCGACGCGTCGACCCCCGATCCCCCAGTCGTCGCCGAGGGAGGCCCGAGGGCCCTCCCCGCCCAGGGTCGAAGAAGAAAAAACCGGCACGGACTTGCGCAAACTGCTGGCGCTCCGCGCGGGCTTCTTGGACCCGCGCCGGGGCCCCCTGGCGGCGCCTCCGGCGCCGCCCCTGGCGCGCTCCGTGCGCCAGGCAGGGGGGGTCCCACACGGGTCCAGGGAACCCGCGCGGAGGGCCGGAAGTCTCTGTTTGTGCCGCTGTTTTCTTCAAGGGCGCCCTCGAGGGCGCGAAGTCATTCGCGCTGCGCGGTTCGGCTCCGATCCCTCCTCGCCCTCCTCGTCTCCCCTGGGAGGCGGCGCGAGAGCGCGAAGCTGTCCGCACTCCGCGCTTCGCGCAGCGCGCAGCGCGAAGTCGGGAGCCCTCGCCTCTTCCTCTGCAGGAGCCAGCGGCTTCGCACTCGGGGGGGCCCACCGCCGACGACCCGTCGGCGAGGCGTCGTCGGCTGCGGCTCGACGCTGCCCTCCCCTGGGCCAGTACTCGCCCCCCGTCGGCTCCCCCCTCGGGGGCTCGGGGTACTGATGCACCACGTCGTTGGGTCGACCAGGGAGCTCAGGAGCCCAGCGAAGGAACTGTGTGTGTGTACAGACGCTCCGGCGTCCAACAGGTTGGGCGGCTGGGGCGTCGACTCACCAAGCTCCTCGGCCGACCGGACGGCGTGGTGTATACATCGAGCCCCTCCCAGGGTTGCAGCAGCCGACGGAGCGTCTTCGCCCCCCCATCTCCCCAAAGCTGAAGTGTCGGGCAGAGCTATCTCTCGCTATCTCTTGCTGTCTCTCTCTCTCTCTTTCTTTATGTATGTATGTATTGTTTTTGTTTGTTTGTCTCTCTCTCTCTCTCTCTCTGTCTCTCTCCCATTGCAGGCGTAACCCGCTCCCCCCACGTGAAAGGAGAGGTCCGAATGCGTCAGAGACGAGGTGTTGGTGAAAGCTGTGATGGTGATGGTGTGGTGGTGATGGTCATGATGTTGAGTTCGATGATGCTTATCCAGTCACGTTTCCGCGCGAAGCCGCCACCGTTCTCGTGCTCGCGCCTAGGGTGGGGTGGGCGCCTGGGAGGGGGGGTGGGCGCCTGGGGGGGGGGTGCCATGGGATGTATCCTACCAGAGCTTTGAATTCGGCAGAGGGTTCTGCCAGGAATACCGAAAACGCAGGAGCCTGGTCAGACTGCTTGTATTTGCTATCGATGCGTCGGGATGGGGCCGAACTAGTACCCCGCAAGAAGCCACG